ACACACACACACACACACACACACACACACACACACACACACACACAAAACTGCTTGTCTTTTCTTTTAGAAATAATCTCTGAAGCCCAGGTTGGCCTCGAATTCACACCAATGCTCCTACATCTGCTCCCAAGCACTGAAATGACAGGCGTGTACCACCCCACCTGGTGCATGGTCTCTTATTAATTATTGATAATTGCTCAAACTTCATTAACTCGTTTAACAATATCTTGTTTGTTTGAATCAACTTCCTAAGGGCTATGTTCGTAAAGGGAAAGTACCTCGCCTGTTTTGGTCATAACTGTAAACTCCGGGCAGTCTGACCTGTGCAGCTCACACTCATTATCAGCTGAAGCAAAGGATAGCCAATCTACAGGGAACAACTATCTTCCAAGGGCACAAGCTTTTCTGGTGGGCGTAGTTTGGCTGTGGGAGGTGTGTGCCACCATGCCTCCCGCCTAGACCTAAGGACCGGATGCCTGGGCGGGGCATCCAATAGTGGTGCTCTCGCTTCGGGGCGGAGCCAACAGGACCATGATTTCTTGGTCAGAATTGGGACTTATTTTCTTTCTCCCTTAGCATTTCCTCCCCAGCGCCCTGGCTCACCCGAAGGCACCTCTTCCCACCACTCGGATCCGCTCGTACTTCTCCATCTCATTTCTCAGTTACGCTTCTGGAATCCCCGTGCGGCGCGTGCGCGGACCCTCCCATCCGGGAGCTCCTCCTCCTGGCTGTAAAACTTTTGCAGGGCGGAGCTGGCGAAACAGGGGCGTCTGCTGAGCCTGGCATCTTTCTCTGACTGTAAACCCAACCTAGAAGCCAAGTCGTGTTTCCCCAACGAGGAATCAGAGAATAGTCATTCTTGGTTTCTTGACGAGTCCCTCAGTGCTCAACACAGTACCAGCTACCTTGCACACGCGTGACTTGGGCACAGGTAGGGTGGAGCGATGAGGCGCCCACTTAAGTTGCACCGCAAAAACAAGAGTGTCCCTTCAAAGGTCTAATGCGAGTGAAAAGCTTAGATCGATCCAGTACCCACTGTCCAAGAGGAGTGGCACTACTTCAGAAAGATAAAGGGAACCGAGAGGCCGCTCTGTGTGGGGCGGGGGGGGGGAGTGGAGTTGTTTGGCGTTTACCGAGGGAGGGACCGGGAAAACCCAAGTTGGACAAACTGATTCACCTGAAGAGAACGTGACGTGTCTCTCTCGGTTGTAACAACTACTGAGCACTGTACTCTCTGCTTCTCAGAACCCAGCACAAAACGCTGCCTAGGGGGACTCGGTCCTTTACCCAAAACCTCTAGCGTCATGGTAAGGGAAAACCAGAGAGGATTCTACACCTCTGTCCAGAAATAGTGGGCTGGTTAGTATCACTGCTAAGAGTTTTGACCAGGATGAATTACATACAATCCTGACTTCTTGCCGCCTGCTGTTCTAAGAGAGTTATAAAATTCCAGTATTCAGGAGGTGGTCCTTAGCTAAGTTCCAATTTCTGAATGGGCGAGGAAAGCAAGATAAGGGGTGTTTATTTTTTTGTCCCCGCCCTGCCCCAAACTAGCCTACGTGGAATGACCGGTGGGAACCTGCGGTCACTGGCTCAGGCCGGAGTCGGCTGGTGAACAGGTTTCCCAGTTAGCAAAGAGGGAGTGAAGCGGGTAAAATGCTTACCCAAGACATTGCATCGTGCTATCACTTAGTAACCAAATGGGCCTTGAGTGACCCTGAAGACCCATGGGAGTTAATGTGTAATCCTGGAACCATCAGGGAAGGCAGCAAACACCCAAAAGGCTTAGGTGCCTGGGTGTCTGCTCTTGGGTTTCTGTTTTTCCCTCCCTCTTGAAACACCGTTTTCCTAGTCCCCCCTTTTTGCCCGCGTCGTCCATTTCCACCTCCCAAAAGCACACACCCCTTCACTCCAGCACCGCCTCTGGGCTCCTTTTCCTCCGGGTCGGCTGATCCCGCTCCACAGAACAACTGCCTGCCTTACCCTCTGAGTGGAGGCGGGCTCGGATCCGGCATCACAGTGGGGACAGACTGACACCTAGTGGCCAAAAGCCGCAACTACTCCAGGCCGCTGCCCAGGAAAGAGGGTCACCCCAGCTGTCTGGGCAAATCCGCAGCCTTCCCCGCCCCAGCCTCCAAGGAGCCAGAAAAGGGTTGGGACTGTCTGAGGGAGGACTGTGACAACCGCTATGCTCCAGGAGCCCAAGAATGGTGGGGAGGAGTGGGGTGATGGTGGGTGACTCAGTTCCTAAGCACCACTCGTGCGGGGCGCGGGAGAGGCAGGTGAACTCGATCCCGGTCCGAGAGAGGAATCGAGTCTGGGCGGAGCCGTGGTCTGAGGCGGCGCTCCTGAGCCCCCAGGATCAGGCTTTAGCAGCCCCGGCTGTGTGATGGTCCCGCCCAGCTCGGTCCTGAAGAGTTGGGAGAGGAGAGTTCTCGCAGTACCCGCCCAGGGTGTGGGAGCCAGTGGCGGCCGAAAAAGTCGGGGAGAGGGCTAGCGGGGCCGTACGCACGAGGGCGGCCGAGGACGCCTTCGGATGTCGGGAGGCGCCAGACGGGGGTGCCTCAGCAGCGATGGCGGGGACAGCCCCTTCGCGCACGAAGTCGGCGGGATCCGGGCGGAGCCCTGGGGGACGCGGGGCTCGCGCCCTCCTCGCGGCAGAGGCGCCCGAGGGGCGGGGGCAGGCGGCGGGGCGGGGCGGGGGCGCGGGCGGTAGGGGCGGGCAGAGGCCTCGCCGGGAGCGCGGGGAGGAGCGAAGGGGCCTTGAGGGCTCCGCGAAACTGTGGGGCCGGCGGCCCGCGGCAGAAACGATTGTGGCGCGCTGGCCAGAGACGGAACGGTGTTCCCAGAACTGCCGGGGGAGACGGCTTAAAAGGCGGACAGACAGACGGCAGGGAGGGCCAACATGCCCCTACTGTTGCACCCCGCCTGGCCGCTGCTCCTGGGCGCCACGCTGACCTTCCGGGCACTCAGGCGCGTGCTCTGTCGCCTGCCCCTGCCTGCACACGTGCAAACCGACCCCCTGCGCACCTGGCGTTGGCACAACCTACTCGTCTCCTTCACCCACTCCATTGTATCGGGGATCTGGGCACTGCTGTGGTGAGTGAACAACCCGGGGTAATGAGATGGCCGTGGGATCTTTCGCGGGGTGCTCGGATTGGGCTCCCTGTTGCTATTCCCATCACTCATGGGTGAACAGACGCCAAGGATCTCACCTGATTCCCTGTTTGGAAAACTACCCAACCAAGAACGGCTGTGGGAAACCCAAGGTACCTGGGCTTTGGCCAAGTCCCTCCTTATTCTCCAATCAGCCAATAGTAGGCACCCAGAGCACCCTGGGACTGGCAAGACTGTTGGGGGAGGCGAGGGTCCTCGGGGAAGCTGCAACCGCAAGGAGAACATCCCTTTTCTCTATTCCAGCATATGGCAAACCCCTGAAATGCTGGTGGAGATTGAAATGGCGTGGTCAGTTTCTGGCTATTTGCTTGTTTGCTTCTCTGCAGGTAGGTTATGCCCAAGAAGGTTAAGATTAGGTTGGAAGATAGTTTAAAGTGTTCAGTCTTTTCCTCTTTCCCAACCCCTCCACTAGGATACTTTATCCATGACACAGTGGACATCGTGGTTAGCAGGCAAACTCGAGCTTCTTGGGAATACCTTGTTCATCATGTCATGGTAAGGGAGAACCTGGTGAAGTGATACAGGCAAAATCTTCACAACCCTTTGAGCCAGGGAAGGAGGGAAGCCATCTTAACCCAGCAGTGTCTAGCTTCTAAGTTGCCTTAGATTCTTGTTTAAACCCCCTCTGGGGCCAGCAGAGTGCCTGGGCTTACCTACTGTCTAGGTAAACAGACCAGGAATGTCATACAGAACTAAAAAAAAGTCTCATCCTAGTGAATAAAGAATTCTTAGCAGTAAAAGTTGGCGTCCCTAGATTCTGTCTGATGTGACCTATTTTCAAGTGCCTTTGTTCTGTCCCTCGCCCTCTAGGCTATGGGTGCCTTCTTCTCTGGTATCTTTTGGAAAAGATTTGTTGGTGGTGGCGTCTTAACACTACTGGTGGAGGTCAGCAACATCTTCCTCACCTTAAGAATGATGATGAAGATAAACAATGCCCAGCATCTCCTTCTCTACAAGGTCAACAAGTATGTCAACTTGGTCATGTACTTTCTCTTCCGACTGGCCCCTCAGGCCTACCTCACCAAGTTCTTTCTACAGTATGCTGGCCAGAGGACCCTGGGGACATTCTTGTTGGCCATACTGCTTATGCTGGACATGATGATCCTCATCTACTTTTCCCGCCTCCTCCGTTCTGACTTCTGCCCTGAACGTGCTCCCAGCCACCAACAAAAAGACAAATTCTTGACTGAGTGAGAAAACAGGACCAAGGACTTGTGACAGGGACAGCAAGCACAGCCAACAGCGTTGTAACATAAACTAGGACTCTGCCCCAAGCCTGGGTGTATTGGGGCCAGCCTTTCCACCTTAAGCTTACACCCACACTATTGAAAACACTAATGAAAGCTCTCTGAAGTCCTCTGTTCTTGGGCAAGGGTTGAGGGAAGCAGACCAACCGGTTGGGCATGGTAAATGGGTGAGGACAAGATACTGTCCAAAAGCAGCCAACCCATCCCGCCCTGACAACTCTAAAATAACCCCTCTGCTCTTCCAAACTCTGGTATTGGTTTCACAACAGCCTCTTCAAGGGAAGGAACTCTTGTAAAGCTTGTCCTCTGAGCCTATGATGATGGAGGCATGTACCAGGACAACTAACACCTCATAAATGCCCCCAGTACTGAGCTCTAGCATAGGGGTTGCACCACTGTGTGTCCCATTGCTCAGAGCTGGGAAAGCCCTGGGTTTGAACCCAGCACCCACCCTGTTACCACAGTATGACCGTGTCCCCAGCCAAACCAGAAAGCAACAAATGACAAGCAGCATTATTTATGGTGAAAAAAAAAGTGTATATTTAGAATTAGTCATCTGGACTCAGTTTAGATGATCCCAATCTGAAAAACAAAACAAAAAAGGGAGCTAAATCACCGGAACGGAACTCATGGTTAAGTGAGCTGGGATGACAGAAACAGGGGAGGGTGGGGCTTGCTAGACTGTGGACTGGATGCTTACCTTGTTGGCAACATCCAGAGCATCATAATCAGGAGCCAAGCGGACATATGCTTTCTTCTCTCCATCAGGCCTGTGTGGAGAAGGAAGCCTCAGAGTTGGACTTTCACAACCCCACCCCTTCCCACATCCCTCCCATAGTCCTCTGGGGCATCAGTGGTTCCTTTGTTGGTGTCATTATTTTCCAAACGTTTGAGTTTTCCATCATCTGCAGAGGGGGCTAAGAGTCACCATGAAACCATGGTATTTTAAAGAAAACCCATACAAGCTTTCTGATTTCTGCCTGGCCCCACTCACCTTATCAAGGTATTGACTTTGGCCACATCAATGTCATAGAGTTTCTTCACGGCCTGTTTGATCTGGTGCTTGTTGGCCTTGACATCCACAATGAACACAAGTGTGTTGTTGTCCTCTATTTTCTTCATGGCTGACTCAGTGGTCAGTGGGAATTTGATGATAGCATAGTGGTCAAGCCTAGGGGAGATAGGGATTAGCTACCCTGGCACCAGTATCCAACACATGCTTTACTTTAGAATAAGGTGCATCAGACAATCGGATCAAAATCATCTCTATCAGACTTTGGTCGCTGAATAATGTCATCACATGCACCTGAACCCCAAGGGGCTCAACTTCCCATTTAGAGCCAAATCCTGTGTATTCTCTTGACTAAAGAATCAAGTTTAACTCATGCATTTATCCACTGGAGTTCCACATTTACTATGAGACCAGATCAAACAAACAACAAAATAAAGAGAAAACAGTGCTCAGTTGCTAGAGGTCAGCCACACTCTGGAACTACTCCAGGGCCTTACACTGCAGCACAAGCTAGCCTGACATCCAAGAGCAGCACCTTTAACACCCACACCCACCCTTCTGGTCTAAGACTGGGTCCCAAAGATGACCTTGGTCTTCTAACAGGGTAACCACCAAATGATCAATGCAATGCTGGAGACTGATGCCAACAGTAACTCTAACATAACACTTTTCCAGTAAGCACATTCTTCCTTTGAGTGGTGTTAGAATTTGGTCAATTAAAAGTGCATTTCATAACACCATTTGAAGGACATCACTCCCCAGGTCGACAACTTAATCAACCAACAGCAAGCCATCAACACTGATGTGTTCTTTCCAACAAGTGCCATGGCACTTGGAAACAAGATAAGCAACATCTCTTTGAAGTCAACTTTTTTTTTTTTTTTTGGTTTTTTGGAGACAGGGTTTCTCTGTGTAGCCCTGGGTGTCCTGGAACTCATTTTGTAGACCAGGCTGGCCTCGACCTCAGAAATCCGACTGCCTCTGCCTCCCAAGTGCTGGGATTAAATAAAGGCGTGCGCCACCACTGCCCGGCCTGAAGTCAACTTTCAAACACTGATTACACATAAATAATTAACTTAAAAAAGACCTCACACTTCCACCAGAGCAGCTCCTTGGACAATTATGCGCTTTATAAGGGAAGCTATTGGGTGGGTGATAGATAAATCAGGAACTCTAATGCCCTAATGCTAGTGGGTATAAGGTCCGTACTGACTTGTTTCTCCTTGGTGCACTTTTCCGAGGATATTTTGGCTGCCTCCGGAGCCGCAGTGTCTTGGGCCGCCGGAAGGTGGGTGACGTTCGGATCTTCTTCTTTTTGTGGCTGTGGACGCCTTTCAGCACTGCCTTCTTAGCTTTCAAGGCCTTCGCTTTGGCTTCGGCTTTGGGAGGGGCAGGAGCTGGGAGAGAAGGAAATAAAATTAGTGTGGCATTCATAGAATGATCCCTTCCGACGGCCCTGTCAACACGTGCATCAGTGGTTCCTTTGAAGACATCACGGGTCTCAGGAGACTAAGTTTTTTTTCCATCATATGCACGATACCGCAGGCAAAGATAGTTAACCCGTTGTAACATCCCGTTGGTGCGTATAATCCCATTTAACGTGGAAAAAAGCCGTATAAGGACTACTACTAATTCCTCCGTTTGGAGACACGGAGCGCCACCCTGTGGATGTTAAGTAGCTTCCCAAAGTCAAATGCTTGGCTATCCGTGGCGGCCGATATCGGCCGGGTTGCCAATCCCCTTCACTTGAATCAGCCCATGCGGCTTGGCGCACGAGGTTCTCATACACGGCAGTCAGGCCTAATCGCGACAGTAGCTACAGAACAAGACACACACGGCTTAGCCGGGCATTCGTCTTCACCGTGAGCTCGCACTGCGGGTAACCAAGGCCGACCTGAAACATTCCCATACCGCGACATACCTTCCTTCTTCGCTTTCGGCGCCATCTTGGCGAAAAGGGTTGCCCAGCCCAATTCCCATGAGCTTATAGAATGAAGTCTCATGAAATCTCGCGATAGCTTATACATAACACTGATTGGATGAACAGCAGTATGGGGCTGCCTGGGAATTGCAGTTCCATTCAATTTCCTAGAGCCAGAGACCAAGTATGCGCCACCTTTCCCTTCGAGAGGCCCTAAGGCTTCTTGGGAATTGTAGTTTTTTGGTTTGATTTTTCTGACAGGGTTTTTCTGGAGAATTGTAGGTTTTGTTTTTTGTTTTTGTTTTGTTCTGTTCTGTTTTTTGTTTTGTTTTGAATTGCTCTTCCTTTCGAGACAGAGTTTCTCTCTGTAACAGTTCTGGAACTCACTCTGAACTCACTGAGATCCACCTACCTCTGACTACTAAGTGCTTGGATTAAAGACCTGTGCCAACACCACATGGCCTGAGTTGTAGTTTTAAAAAGATACAAGTGTACCAGGCAGTGGTAGTGCACGCCTTTAATCCCAGCACTTGGGAGGTAGAGGCAGGCGGATTTCTGAGTTCGAGGCCAGCCTGGTCTACAGAGTGAGTTCCAGGACAGCCAAGGCTATACAGAGAAACCCTGTCTCGAAAAACCAAAAAAACAAAAAGCAAGTTTATTCCCCTAGGTCTAGAAAGTGGATGGTTATAGCATCTGGTGGTTGCCTTATGGTCCTTACTCTTGCACTTCTTGGGCAATTTCCAGCCTTAGGGAAGAGGTTTGCAGTGTAAGAAGCCAATAACACTACCAACTGGGAAAAATACAGTTTAAGGGGTTAGAAGGACGTTCAGCACTTAAGTTCATGTACTTCTCTTTCAGAGGACCTGCGTTGGATCCCCAGCAGCCATACCTCTGTGGACACCTCTACTTAGGTGCACATACCTGTACACAAACATATTATAAAGGATTTTTAAGCCAAACGTGGATTGTACACACCTTTATTCCCAGCAGTTCAACCCCAGATTAGCCTACATAGCAAGTTCCAGGACAGCCAAAGGTACATAGAGAGATCCTGTTCAAAGAAACAAACAAAAGCAAAACCCATGGAAAATAATTTAAATACAATTTGTAGCCTGGTGTGGTGACACACACCTTTAATCTCAGCAAAAGGAAACAGATGCAGTCAGGTCTCTGTGAGTTCAAGGTCAGCCTGATTTACATGGCAAAATACAGGTTAGTCAGATATCTGTAGTGAGACCAGTCTTAAAAAGTAGGTAGATCAATAGATAGATGGGTAGATAGATGGGTAGATAGACAGATAAATAATAGAAGCCCTATGTAGGCCACATCTATAATTCCAGTACTCAGGAGACAGGAACATTGACACAAAGTCAAGGCCAGCTTGTGCTACACAGTTAAGTTCCAGACCAGCCAGCACTACATAGTGAGGCTGACACAAACAGATAAACAAAATACAAGTAAAATTCAGTTTGCCTAACTAGCAAAGATGAAGGAAAGCTGTGCAGTGTTAGGACAGGATTTTCTCCAGCTTTTCCATATGACACCTGTGGGAAACTGAGGCTGCAGAGCTGAATCTGATTCAGTTACTACCACAGTGATTTGGTGGCAACAAAAAAATTGAGTGTGAGATGGGGAAGAAATCCAGGGCTGGGCAGTGGTGTCGCACGCCTTTTAATCCCAGCACTTGGGAGGCAGAGGCAGGTGGATTTCTGAGTTCGAGGCCAGCCTGGTCTACAGAGTGAGTTCTAGGACAGTCAGGGCTAGAAACTGTCTTTTTTTCTTTTCTTTCTTTCTTTTTTCTTTTTTTTTTTTGGTTTGATTTTTTTTTGTCTTGTTTTTTTGTTTTTTTTCGAGACAGGGTTTCTCTGTATAGTCCAGGCTGGCCTCGAACTCAGAAATCCACCTACTCTGCCTCCCAAGTGCTGGGATTAAAGGCGTGCACCACCGCCCAGCCTGGTTTGGTTTTTCAAGACAGGGTTTCTCTGTGTAGCCCTGGCTGTCCTGGAACTCACTCTGTAGACCAGGCTAGCCTCGAACTCTCGAACTCAGAAATCCACCTGCCTCTGCCTCCCAAGTGCTGGGATTAAAGGCGTGCACCACCACCACTCGGCTGAAATCCTGTCTCAAAGAAAAAACAACAACAAAACAAAACAAAAAAACCAAAAAACAAACAAAAAAGAAAAAGAAAGAAAGAAAGAAAGAAAGAAAAGAAATCCAGAAGAGAAGAGCTACAAAAGAGCTATGCATAGAGACACAGACATACACAGAGGGAGAGAGTGTGTGTGTTTGTGTGTGTTTTCCAAATAAATTTTAAAGAAAATTGTGGGTTCAGGTAGTGGTGAAGCATGCCTTTAGTCCTAGCACTTGGGAGCCAGAGGCAGGCAGATCTCTGTTAATTTGAGGCCAACCTGGTCTACAAAGCAAGTTTCAGAACAGCCAGGGCTATACAGAGAGAGACCATGTCAACAACAACAACAAAAGGTTTTTCTAGCCGGGAGGAGCCAGAGGCAGGCAGATTTCTGAGTTTGAGGCCAGCCTGGTCTACAGAGTGAGTTCCAGGACAGCCAGAACTACACAGAGTAACCCTGTCTCGAAAAACCAAGAAAAAAAAAACCAAAAAAAAACAACAACAAAAAAAAACCAAAAGGTTTTTCTAAATGTGTTTGTGTGTGTGTGTGTGTGTGTGTGTGTGCGTGCAAGCATGAATATACCCTACATGTAAGTAACACAGATGCCAGGTTTCAGATATCCTGGAGCTGGAGTTACTGGTGGTCCTGAACCACTAGGTGTGAGTGCGGAGGACTGAACTCAGATCCTCTGTCAGAACACACACATACTATGAACTGCTGAGTCATTCTCCAGCCCCTAATATTTAAAACAACTTTATTCTATGTGTATGAGTGTTCTGCCTGCATGTAAGTCATGCATGCCTGGTGTAGGAGGGAAGGAGAAGAGCATGTTCAGTTCCGTGGAACTGGGGTCACCCGTGGAAGCAGAACCCCTGATCTGTATAAGAGCAGCAAATGTTCTTAATTCTGGAACTGTCTCTCCAAACCTAATCATCATCTTCCTCTCCCTCTGTCGTCCCCCTCCCTCCTCCTAGTAGTTCCCGAGACAGGACCTCACAACACAACTCTGGATGACCTGGAGCTCTTTAAGTAAATCAGGTTGGCTTCAACCCCATAAAGATCTACCTGCTTCTGCCTCCAAGTGCATGGGTAGGCCATCACACCCGGATTTTATTATTTTAAGACAAAAGTCACACTCTGTAGCTCAGGCTACAGAGTCCTCCAGCCTCAAGAGTGTTGGGACCACAGGTGTGAGCCACTATGCTAGACTTCAATAATGATTTTTAAGTAGTTCTAGCCACAGTTGAGACAGAAGGTGATTTCTCTTGGATACCCTAGCTTTTCCTGTGAATAATTTCTTTCTTTCTTTTTCTTTTTCTTTTTTTGGTTTTTGAGACAGGGTTTCTCTGTGTAGCCCTGGCTGTCCTGGAACTCACTCTGTAGACCAGGCTGACCACGAACTCAGAAATCCACCTGCCTCTGTCTCCCAAGTGTTGGAATTAAAGGCGTGCGCCACCACCCGGCTAGTCTTCCCTACCTAATACTGTGTTCCACCCATTTTTGTACCTTCAAATTTAGCTCCAAACATATAAACATCTATCAGTGTCTTCTTCGTGCTCGTGGTGTGTGTGTGTGTGTGCAAAAAGGAAAAGTTGTTCTGGTTTTGACTGTTCTAATCCGGCTAGAAAATGTACAGCCGTATTAGAAGGGGGCTCTACAATCCCATAGTGGTGATCAGGACAAAAGACGAATTTTCACAGTCTACCTAACACTTCTTTCTCCTTCACGGAAGGAGGCTCGACGGGAGAAGACAACGGATCTGGACGCCTGGTCCTTGGTGGACACCTGGTTCAGATCTTGACATCCCCTTTAGGCTCTCCCTCTCGCCCCTTAGGGCAGAAAGGCGAGCAGGGGCAGACTCTATGAGTCATGTGCCAGGCCTGGAGTCATGGAGGGAAGCACCGCCTCTCCTTGGGCCCCTTCTCTCCCCCTTTTCTCCTCAGCGGCTCCGGGTCTTGCCAGATGCTGCGCTACAATCAAGGGTTCCCGAGCACCAGTTCCGTTGGGTAAGGGGTCCTGAAGAAGACGCGGCTCCAACAGGGAGATGGAGGGGAGAGAGACTTAGGGGATCCCAGTCTGGAAAGGCTCCAGCCTGGGTGGAGGCGGTTCTGGTATTGAGTAGGGCTTCTGGAGATCGGGCAGCGCGCGGGGAGGAGAGGCGAGGAGAGGAGAGGAGGGGGTTGGCGAGGGCCGTGGTGAGGGCGGCTGCAAGCCCGGGAGCGACGGGGTGCGGGGCAGGGGGCGGCCCTTCTCCAGGAATTTCCGGGGATCGTGTTACAGCGTTCACGGAGTGGGAACGGAGTGGGACGGCAGGCCTCGCCGCGCGTCCGGGGCCATCGCCCCCTCCTCTCACCGATCGTGGGCGACGGCAGTGCCGCCCCTGCGCGCAGTGACCCCGTGTGGCGGGGCGGCCCCGCGCCCCCAGGCCGCTCTGTTATGGTAGGGCCATCCCAGCCCCGAGTTGTCGTCGGGTCTCCGTCGGTTATCGTAGGAGCTATCCGACCCCGTGTCATTGTAGGGTCCGCGCGGACCCGGGCTCCCCGGGACGCGACTCCCCGCCCACAGCTAGCGGCCGGGGGATCTCCCCGCCCCCGAGTGGTCTTCGGGACGCCCCGGGCTCGAGTGATTGTGGGCTCTCCCAGACCCGGGGTGATTGTTTCATCCCCTTGGCCCGCGGTGGTGGTAGCGTCTCCAAGGCCGAGGGCTCCCACAGGCTCTCCGTGGCCCCGGGTGATTGTCGGTACCCCGCGGCCGCGGATAATCGTCGGGTCCCCACGGGTCCCGGCTGCCAGGGCGGATCAGGCCTCTGCGCCTTCCCGGGGAGCCCCGCAAGGCCGCAGACGAGATGAACATTTTGGCGCCCGTGAGGAGGGACCGCGTCCTGGCGGAGCTGCCCCAGGTAGGC